GTAAACATACTTCCAGGAGTATGTTTTTTATTGCAATGCAGACACGTCCTTAGGGCAGCTTGTTTGGAGTGCATTGTATATGCACTGCAAATACTGCGTTGTGTATCCCAGAGTGAAGATGTGCTTTGCACTATTTGTTGTTTTACAACCGATAGTCGGGGGACGCGACATTGTAGCAGAGGCCAAGCAACAGTGAAGACTGGTGCATTTTGATGTAATAGCGATATTTCGACAAACTTAATACATTAGGTTAAACCTTTTCTTAAGTGATTCATATTGGTGTTACTAAAATTTTTAAGTATCTAACACGCTTATCTTGTGCAGAGTCTCGAAAGTGCACTTCATCTCTAAGTAATCAAGCTGATGCCACAGGACTGCAATCTACCACAGATGTTCGACAGTTCCGTAACCATTCAAACACGTAGCACACTTAAATGGCTAGGAGGAGTTCATGCACAACTCTGAAAAGAGATGACGAAGCGCTCTCAAGTGAGCAGCTGTGAAATCGAGGAATGACAGCTATGTTGTACGAGTGCATAACTATGTGTCAGCAAACTGTAATACACAGAAGTGTAGTAGGGTGTACCAAGTGTTAGTTCATCATAACCTGTGCCAGTGAGTCGTAGGGTGCAGCATTGTTCCACAGTGAGCACAGGCACATGGTAAGGTGCACCAGTGTATCCCAGTGTGAACAAACATACCACTGCATGTAATAGCATGCTGTAATGTATAGGAGCCTGGGCGAAACTGAAAACATGGTGCCCGCATATGCAAGAGCACCGCAATCTGTGGCTCACCCAAGGCCGCGACTCTGTGGCTATGATGTTCCAATGAGACAAACGCAGACAGTATGTCAGTATCTATCAAACGAAGCCTAACGAACACTACTCTAATCGGTGTTATCTCACTCTATTAGCCTTGTCGCTGTATGTTTGCTTTAAGCAGCAATGCTGGGTGACAAAGTTTGGAAGCAGATTAGGTCTGCAAATATGGCTTAGAGTAAGTGCCAACTTTATGTAACAATATGAAAAGATAAGCAAGTGGTGTCAACGATGTTTGTGATGTAGCAGTGCTGTTTCATGTCTGTTCCATGCACAGCCACGTGAATGAATGAAGTTTTATTGATTTGTTTGCATGACACATTGCAAAGTACCGCAACTAACAGCCACGTGAAGAGTCCTAGAGGTACTCCAATAATAGAAGTAATGAACAGTCCATGAGACAAGGATTTAAAACTGGATAGTGGAACAATGAAAATACCCTTCTCGGTCAGTTTTTTTTTTGTTGCTTAAACTGGCTTTTAGATACCAGAGTTACTGTTATACAATGATACGTTCCAATCGATTGTGCGTCTCTCTCCTTATTGATTACCATTCACGGACAGCCAATATTCCACTGATAACGCGAACAACGCTTTGTCCCGACCATCGACAGCGCATGGAACGGAACATCGTTTATACAATCATCGCTAAAAACTCACAGACCAAACCTAAAAATCACCTTGCAAGCCAATGGATAAATACTCTCAAGGTCTTATATGCATTCACTTAAGACAACTCTAAAGCAAAAACCATTTTCTTTCTTTTCAATTGGTGTACTGATCTTGCCCTGCCACCACGAAAGCTTTTTTGTGTGGTTTATGCAGTTTTTCACTGCCTCAAAGACCAGAGGCACCTCACCTCGTTTTTAAATTGCCTCCCTGATTGAACACTTTTAGATTGCGCTACACTGTCTGTGATGACATCATTGAGGTGTCAATACCTGATGATGGATGCTAAATGCCGCCAAGTGGGATGATGACGGTCAAATTTTGTGTTTAGTCAGGCATTTGTGGCTTTCGCCTTAATAAAATAGTTCATTCAGATGGACCAGAGAAAAACGCAATGATTTAGGACAGAAATAGGTGCACCCTTATTTGTAACCTATAATACAAAAACATAAGGCCACGTTCATCATCATGCCTTGGCCTCCATTAATTAATATAAAATGTTGGCAGGTAACTTGTGTCACCCCAAACTTTGTACTTTCCTTTGGCTCTTAGTTTTCTCAACATGCTTTCTTGGAAGACAAAACAGAATGGGACACAGGGGAAAGACCAATTTCGTGTTCACAATTATCGCGGCAACTAAGAAGCGCAACCAACCAGACCAAGTCAAGCGCTGCCACAATAGTCCAAAAGTTTTCCGATGTACACATCACAACACTGGCCAAACATTAAACGTTTAGCCACAGCATGAGTAAACAGAAACAATGAAAGAACCAACACAATGACTTGTGTTACGTCCTTTTATTGTTCCAGTTCATTTGTGCTATACATAAACACGCAGTTCACAGATTTGCCCAGCTAGCTATAATACACTGCTTCATGTATTCATAAGAATATTGTTATGGTGCACCATTGACAGAAGCAAGCGCAGCACTTTGCGAAGAGAACGAAGACGCCTGTGCGTTAGACGCTTGCGCGAGAGGCAACTCAGCCATCTTTGTTCGGCTGCCGATTCTCTGTGGACGCTATATTATAAACCTAGATCTTGCCCAGTCTCAATATATTCTGCAATACCTTTTCTCCAAGTAACATTTTGGTGGAGGTGCTCGGTATTGATCCTGGCACCTACTTTCTACCTCTAATTCTTGCATTTTTCGTATTTAACATCGGTGTACCGTCTGGAATGTTACTTGGAGAAAAGGTGTTGCGAATATATTGAGACGGGGTGAGATCTAGGTTTACAGTATAGCATCCACAGAGAATCGGCAGCCAAACAAGATGGCTGAGTAGCCTCTCGCGCAAGCGTCTAACGCACAGGCGTCTTCGTCCTCTTTGCAAAGTGCTACGCTTGCTGCTGTTGATGGTGCACCATAACAATATCATCCACCTTTGCTTGATCTCCAGTTCATACTGCCCCATTTTTCCATCTGTAGTCATGCCTATCAAATTCCATTCTGACTGATGCACTGTCCCCAACCTCCTTCCCAGTTTCAGCACTGTCACTCGAAGTATGGCACCGGCAAAATAAAGTGATCCCATAATTTTTTCAAGCACATCAGTAAGCATACCGTTGGCAGCAGTGCCTCCACGATTCACCCAAACCAGTGTCTGAGCAGTTTGTGTCCCTGCAAATGCCACGAGTGACAGGTCAACGTGAGCAATAAGCGATTTCAGCAGCAGTGTCGCACGACTGCTCTCGATGTCAATCATTGGGGACAAACTTTATTGACTGCAAATGACTTCTTTGTGAATGCTGAGCATGACGGCCAATCTTGCTTGAGAATGTCCACCTTATCAGGATCGACCGTGCTTTAATGTGCGATTTAACGTGCGCCCGTGATTGAACGTGCGATGTTTGAACGTAGGAGAGCTAAAAAATAACAAACACTGGTGGAAAGGAGGACCAAGCCAAGTTCGTTGTATGCATTGGGAAAAAGCAAGGAAAATCGATGGATTCAATAAAGTCTGTAGCTAGCTCTTGCATGCTATTAACATCCCAGGGGAGCAGATGGGTGCTATCGCAAGATAGTCTACCACTCGGTGCATCAAGCCATCAAATACAGGTCTGTGAAAGTAACACGAGAACTCAAACCTTAAGGTAAACATTTTCTATTCCGTTCTAGCCTATCCTCTTTATTCAAGTGTGCGTGCAAAGCTAGTCTGCAACGTAAGCCCACACCTAAACTGCATATTGCAGACAATTCACCTAAAGCATATATACACAAACAGTTTCATATCGCGTACGTGTTGATGCCAAGACACAACTTTGCGAAACATGCATTTGTGTATGCTTGTAGGGGCACTTGGTTTTCATGGTATCCGGTATAAACTAATGCATCAGAATACCTCTTGTTTTTGAGTTTTACCGTTCTGAAAATGTTCCACTATCCCATTTTGATGCCTTGTTACTACTTTACACAACAGACAGCATAACTGCAATATCCAGTTGACAAGCCTATTGGTAAGACGAAAATGGCACAATGAGCTGAATTACCAAACCATTGTTTTAATTCTTGCGGTAACTTTTCTTAACGCGAACAGTCAAAAGATATTAATGAAGCCTAAACATCACATAACAAGAGACTCGGGAAAACATGGTAACGCAGGTGCTAAGGTGAAGGAGCATGAACGGCGTAGTAATAGTCACGGCCTGTTGTTCACGGAAATAGTGACCGGTTTAAACAGCATAACAATTAGGGGGTGTGAACCGTATATGGAACGGATCTATAAATCTAGGGGCCCTGCAGACGTCCGCCGAAGCGTTGCTTCGGCAACGTTAAGCAAAGAAAAAAGAAAAAAAAATTACCGGCCGGACGTAGTTTAGACATCTTTATTTTTCCTGCATTGTCACTGGCTGTCGCCGCGCGAGCCTAAAGTAGATGGGGCGCTCGTTTGGTGGGCTTTTTTTTTTTTTTCCCTCCGTGTCCCGGACGACGTTATGATTCACATCGAAAGGAAAACGAAGCTGCCAATCGCACTCAGCCAGCCAAAACGCATTCGCCCATGCGACGCGAACGTCGTAAATGAGTCAAAACGAAGCGTTTAGCTGCGACTGGCGTAACAAAAGAATGCGCTTATCGTTCGTACGTCAGTGGGCCGCTAGAACGAAAACAACCACAGCAACAGTCCGGGAACTGACACAACCGAAGTGGTTAATAAAAACCGGTCGGTATTTGTGCGGCTAGTGCCAAGAAGGGACACGCTTTATAGGTTCCTACTTGTTGGCGTTCGCCTTCAATAGTGAGCTCTGCTGGGACAGCACAGAAGGTCCGTGAGGTCTTGGGTCCCGTTTTGCCACGACCCGCTATATGAAGGTCGTGTGTTTTGCACTGTATCAGCTAAACGCACTTGAGAAGATGATCGCACACGCGTTCCAGAAACGAACGCCGGCAAGCGCTCTCGGAATAGAGCGCTTTGGCTGGAAGAAAGCGAGCTTCGTCTTGCCTTCACATGCGAAACGAAACATCATTTCACGGAGACGAGGGACGCAGCCAAAGAGGCACGCGCGACTCACCAGACTTTCAGCGGACGGCTGCGTCGTCGGTCTTGACAGGTCGAGCGTCAGCGCGCCGTCATGCCGTCGACGCTAACCCGAACGGCAGCGAGATACGTCCACAGCACACGGCGTCAGCGCCTTCCGGGCTCAACAGGTGCGACTTAGCGGCAGGCGTCGTCGTAAGTCCTGCCGCTGGCATGGCCCGAACAGCGTTCACGCGTTCGCAATACCCAGCCGGGCCGGCGCAATCGCCTCCGACGAATGAATGAAGGCGAAAACGAACACACAAAAAAGCCGCGCTGTAAAATTGCACGACGCGACGTCAACACACTAGAGGCGCACAGCCTGATGTGTCAGTACGGCGCAACGTAAGTACGGCGGCGCTTGACGATCATCTCACAGCTGATGACTGCTTTCGCCCGAGGCGATTCGAACGAGCACCGCTGGGCTGTCGGAGAAGATGACGAAGAAAGGGCAAGGCTCGTGATTTCTTTATCGCCGTCGATCGCATCCAGAGATTAGCCGCTGCCCTGCGAGGACGACGAACGGCGCTTGCATGTCGCTGATAAGTGCGGCAGGAGCGAGGTGGAGCAACAAATATATTTTCGGCACCAGCGAAAGCGGAACCAAAAGCGTTCGCTGCTGTGTGGTCACGCTACGCGTAAATGCGCGATTCATCCGTCGAGGGAAAAAAATGAGTGACGGCGCTAGTTACCGTTCTGCTTCCTCGTGGAGTTGTGTTTTGAAGGACAAAAAACAAGATAATAAAAAATTTTCTTTTATAATTCACCAATGCTATCTGTAAGCCCGAAAGTACTTTACAAAAGGTTTCCGAGAAAGACGAGTGGCAGGTCTGTGACGTCATTTTTGCACTTTTAGCAACACTCGTGTAACACCAGAGTGTTTGATTGCTACGCTGCAGTGCATTAAGGTGTGCATCTTTGTTATAACCCAACTCCGTGTTATAACCCTACACTCCGTGTAACCCTATATAAAGAAATCGTACAAGTGGGCCTGCAAAAGGCGGGGCAAAATGTGACAATCACTGGCGAAGGCAATGCTTGCCCAAACCGCCCCTACTTTACATTGAGTGCGCCCTTGTTGCAATGCAATGTAGACGCTAAGCTGGTTGGCTACGTTACAAGAAATGGTTTTGCTCTCGTCGCTCTTCTTTTTCCAGAGGTTTATCAATTGCACAGTATTCCATAAAATTCGCCAAGCCATTCAGTCCCATGCAAATAACAAGGATACAAGTTTAGCAGTGTTTGTCTTGCTAAATTGTTCATCATAAGGCGTGTAATGATAGCACGCGGGAGTTGAAAAATGGCTTTTTTATTTTTGTATGTGTAAAAAAGTGTTTTTCCTTGCCCCTTTCAAGATGGCTGAAGTATAGCCCTCAGTTAAGAGAGGCTGTGTTTTCACTGCAGCAATGCGTAAAAAGACCCGAACATCACAGTACACACCAGTGCAGTTAAATGACGTCAAACAATTTTGAAAGTTGTTGTTCTACTGCATTACCGAACGCACCACACATCACTGCTAAACTTGCTTTCGAATCTGTCCAACGGAACGCATCGGCTCTACAAGTCAACTTTCGCTCGTGAAGTTGTGTGTGGCCGTTTGTGCGTGTTTCCACCCGTGCGTGCATTGTGTTGTGATGGGGGTGAGTCGCTCACGAAGCGAATAGGAACCAGCGACAGGATACGAGGAGCATTCGTCGCGCGCAACGCACGAGAGACGGCTTGACTCTTTTATCGCTACTATGGGAGCATGGTCTCGCGTTCGCCGACATGCTGCTGCCACCGCGAACCGTGCGCCCCTGCGTTGCTGCACTGCTACAGCTGTTGCTCGCCGCTGTGTTGCCCGCAATTTGCGCCGTGCACGCCGACCGGGGCGATTCGGAAGCATGGCCCGGTGAAGAACCGACGGAGAAGGTACGGTGACACACTTGCCTGCATCCCGTCTCGGTCGTTTACGTGTGCTGCCTACCGTGTCGGAGTTCGATCCGTTTATCACATTTTATGAAGACGCGGCGTGCAAACACGAACACCTGGGAGGATGAAGACGTTGTGTCAATCCTCTCTTGTGTCCGTGTGGGTACGCACTGTCTTTTTAACACAAATACGTACACACCAGCCCAATGTGCGTGGCGACGATTGCATCAGGGAGCCAGCGCTGTTTATGTATCGATCCTGACAACATCGCCTTGAATACACACGTCGTGCGTCTTTATGTTGTCCCCGTGGCTTACGCAACCTATTTTCGATCGCGATTCGCTCTAACGCGCAAGCAGGGTGTCGCGACTGAGAAACTTGATCTCGACCTGGCCCGATCGCGATCGAAAATGCGACACCGATATTTTATGGTTGCGTCACAGTGATATGTCGTACGGTGCACTTTCGATCATGATTGGCTCAGTCGTGATTAACGGGCTCTGCTGATCGCGATTGAGCCCGGCCGAAATGAAATTTAGAAACTGTAAATCTGCAGCTTGCGTAAAGGAGCCAATCGAGATGCAGTAATTGCGATCTGGATCAGGCTTTATCGCGATCGAAAGTTGCCGTGCGATCGGGCTCGATCGCAATCGAAAGTGAACCGCGTAACACATGCTGAAACGTCGCTTGATGCTCACTTTCGATCTGGTCTCGATCGGGATCGAATTTCGCCTCGATTATTGGCTCTCCTTCCTCGCATTGTGGTCAAACGGGCCAATCGCGATCGAGAGAAAAAAAGAGGGCATTTCAACGTCAGCATGACGTTGGGTCATTGCGAGGCGGGCGTACGTACATACGTGTGTCCCCGAGATTTTGGCATTTGTTCAAGCGTGACCGCGAGTTCACGCGAACGCATTTAAAAATAAAAGCGCAGTCGCACAGTGTCTGCGAACGACGCGCGCCAGCCGGCGTTGCGAATTGCGCCGTGTTCGCCTTATCTGCAAGAAAAAGAGTTCCTTGTTGCTTTTGCGGCGTAGCGATGCATGCAAAGCGGCGTTGTAGCTGCAAGGTTGCAGCTACAACGTTGCGTTGCTGGTTGTGAGTGAAAGGAAGTCGTCAAACCCAGGGCTCTGCATTGCAAGCAGGTATTCTACCGCAGAGCCACGCGAGTGTTTAAAACTGCTTCGTAAAAAAACACTCTAAGAAAGTCATATGATCAGAAGAGTCTCCTAAACGCACGTGATGTTGTATGGCTAAATGGCTAAATAGTTGAGCCGTCACTTGTGTTAATACATGTGACGGCTCAACGAGTGGGCGGTTCTAAGCTGTGCACCATTACCAAGTGCGCAAGCTGCTCTGCTGTGCATGGCTCCCAATGTATGCCAAGTGGTTACTTCGCCGATTTGCAAAAGCGAACAATTATGCCCTAGTGGGCACCTCCGAACAGTACATCCGGTAACGCAGCATGGATAGTTTGAACCGGCTGATGTTGCGTGCACACACATTTTTTTTCTTTTAGCACACTTAAGGGGGATGCATGTTGGACCCAATTACATTGTCACATCAAACTCATGAAAGCGAAGTGCAATATGTTTTTGATATTCCAGACATACTGTATGTCAAGCAACTGATGACATGTTTTGTGCTTAACCTTTGCTTGCAAAGTCACACGCGCAGCTGCTAGGGCAGTTCAGTGTTGGCGGTTGTCACGTCTATCCCAAATCTTAAGCCGTGAACTCAATAGTGTTCGATTTAAATGGACCGACAACTGCCAAGAATATAAAATGAGATGACTCCACTGGTGAAAAGATTGTCTGTCACATTGACTCAAACAAACCCCACCTTTTTCGCGAGAAGTAAATTTATATTTTTATTTCTTCATTGAAAGCCGTCGCAAGAAATGATCTGTGGTGCCTCTGATGGCAAAAGCGTGAACGACGATTTACTTGGCTACGTGACCAATGATTTAAGTATGCGGCTCCATAGAGTTTGCTAAAATACACTAGAAAGAATTCTGGTGCTAGTTTCTATGAAAGCTGCAACACGTGGCGCTTCAGCGAGCATGAGAATGATGGGCAGTGCATGGATTTATGTAATCTTCATACTTTTGGCTCCATTTGGCTTTGTATGGCTTTAAGCTGCTATGTCACGAAACGGCGATCAGCAAAAATTTGTCAATTACGCATCACCACCTCAATCTTTTGAGGCCCACGAATTCAAATCCGGTAACGAAGTTCAAATCGGTTTGTTCTTTTGTTCGAAACAAAAGCAAGACACTGAAATAAATGAAGCCACAAGTGCAATTTGCCACCCGCAAGTACGAAGACTAGGCAAATCCGTGTACTACCCATCATTCCCATGGTCGCTGAACGATGCAGCTCCGGAGTCCCCTCGAGTTAATTTTAGGGAACTCTATACTTGTAACAGCTTGTTCTTTTGAAAAATAATTGAAAAGCTCAAAATAAAGGTGCTGAAAGGGGCCCTTTAACACTATTCAAGCCCCCATGTTTTATTTGTGGGTTGGGTAGACTAAAGTACAGACAGACTAATACAGCAAGAATGGCAGCGATAATGGCACACAGTCAAGTTATTCAATATAGAAAATTAAAAATACAATGAAAAATGCGGACCCTCAACTCGATTTTCGCATGGTCACTTCATTTCACTTGCCCATGATATCGGAAGGCTGCCCCAACGAAATAAACTGGAAGTGCGTACGTAGAAGAAGCTCGGGCCCCATTCTTGCTTGTTTTTTTTGTTTTTCAAAGTAATGTTGATCTCGTGCCTGACGTCTGGCTTGCCAGAACGTGAGCGGGAGCTACTGTGTCGAAGCGAGGTATTTTCTGCAACATACCGAGTCACTCCCTCCTCTTATTCTGTGAAAGGAACTTGTCGAACGACGAGGACAGCAAAATACTGTTGCCCCTTTGAGCGTTGTTTGGTGAGCCGCCCAACGAACAACAATGGTGCACTGCACCCCCTTCAACAGCGCAAGTGCAGAGAGAGACAGCTTGCAAACTCCCAAAAGCAAGAAGAGGGATCAAAGAAAGAGAGAGGGGTCTTTCATATGGATATCCAAAGCACGAAAGCCAAAAATCTAGTGGCGAAATGGCAGCCAGTGTCTCTGTCGTGCTTTGTAGTCGCAGTGACATTTTTTTTCCTTGTTGTTGTGGCCGCGTCTGTTTCAAAGTTCGATGAAAAAGCATCAAAAATGAAAAATGAGACAGCTTAGTAACAGTCAGTTTTGATCCTACACTAAGATAGCTTCTAATGTTACATTTATCTAATCATATGGCGGCAACCTTCCGGCGTCATTTTCTCGCGAGCGCCACTACGTGGTGATGCGGTCGGCAGCGATGTAGCGACATTATTGCGTGATTAAAATGCTAAATCTCTTTATCTCGTCGTTTACACCTATGCTAAAATTATCTCCAGCTATCGGTCTGTGTAAACCACAAATGAAAAATAAGTGCTTCAATAATGTTAAGCATAGTGACAGGAACTTCTGTGAATCAAAGCAGAATGACGACAGCTTCGACAAACCGCGAAATCGGTATCGCTATCATTGCTCGATGTTGTTTGAGGAAAGGTGCATCTGTGTTTAAGGTCTTTCAGATAAAAAAATGCTGCCTGTAAAGTAACTGTGTGCTTTTCAGATTAACTACTGCAGCTACAAGCATTACGAAGATTGAGCTGTCTGTCGTGCCATGAAAAATCAGTTGTCTGTCCATTAATGCTCTCTGTTGTTACCGATAAGAAATGTTTCATTTAATGCTCTCTGTTTTTACCCGTAAGAGTTTCAGTGCACCCAACAAATCTGTAAATATATTCAATTGATTTGACAGAACCGTTGATCATTTGTGACTATAGCACGTGCTAGTGTTAACATAATCATGTGCATAAACATTGATAAATAATAGTCAGGGAGACTGTCAACTTGAATTGAAAACATTAGCCGAGTTGCTCGTTTCTGCATTAAGTATCAACCCTAATTGCAATACAGATTTGCAGTACCTATTGGTATACTCTTACGGTGTGCCAACTTCCAAACATATCTGGAGTTAGCGCTGCTGGAGAATTTTATTTCGTTTGATAAACAGGTGACCTTTTCCTGCAAATGCAATACCTCTAAAATTTTTCCTGCCAGATGGCTCGAATTAGGGGCATCCATCACATGTTCGGTGCATATAGATTAAACACCTGTGTGTGCAGCTACAATGCAGCAGTGCTCGTGATGTAAATGTAATTGTTACATGCGTCCCTGCACTCTGACACTCAATGCTACATAGCCCTTTAGTTGTCGACGTTCTGTGCACTTGTAGTCGCCCTTTCGTGTTGCAATGAAATCTGCGATTGAAAGCACACATATGTTTCAGCCCATCCTTTTAAAAAGAAGTAGCAAATTAGTGTTAGTTCGAGCTAGAATAATAGATCACACTTATAACAATGTATATAGATACAGCAATGTATGTAAAAGACCTTTTAGCCTTTTATGTGTATGTCTTTACGTACCTACATGTACTACATGTTGATCTGTACAGTCGTCAGCAAGCTTAGCTCTGATGTTCCGCGGCGTAACCTTGACTGGTTTGACGGGTGCCTGCTGTTAATTGCTGGGTGCTTTTGCCGGGATGATGCTGTGGTATGCTTGGACAGTAGGTCGGCATGCATTAAAAAACATCTCGGCATCAAAGGCCAAAGCTACACAGGGCTGATGTGCACTCAAACCTTGATATAATGAAGTTAATGAAGAGTAGCTTTTCAATAGATATAATGATAAGAATGCACCTTTATAACGAATTTTCGGATGTAACAAACTTACTTTTGTGAGATGCAGCTTCGTTACAATAAAGTTGGCGTGTATATCAAAGGATTTCTGGACACGCTGCGAAATATTTGAGTTACGCTTTGTGGGGTCTCGAAATTGACGAGCGCGCGCCACGCCATGCTCTTGGAGTGAACGGACATAGCAGACGCAGTCGGTACAAACCAAACAACAT